GGCTGTTAACTTAGCGCTTACAGCTTACAGTTGAATTAATATACAAAGGAGATTGTTCTGAACCATTTAGCTTAAATGATAAAATGTAAGCTCCCTTCTTTAGGGCCTCCATTTCACTAGATATTGTGCCGCTTTAATTCTTGAAACGCTTTCCCAAAATTTCACCACATCCTCTTTAGCTCCTTTTACAAAGCCTCGACCAATTCCAGCCTTTCGCTCATGCATTCCACCAGTTTTTCGTATCGCGAGCGATCTGTTGTGATCTTCGATCTGTTAATTTTGTAAACATTTAATAATATTTTTTTTCCTATTCACATATATTTGCGTTTACACACTTTATTTTATTGATATTTTAAAACAATTTGTTTCGCTCCGACACGAGTTGCTATTCGTACAAAATTTCCGACAAATACATGAAAGTTACAGCTACGTCGGATTCAGGCATACCAACATTACGAATTTCGAAGATGGCCTACGAATTTCCAAATAACGATACGACAACGCGGATTTCAGCATACCAATTTTACGATTCATAGCAAAATCGAATCTACGACGGATTACAGCATAGGAGTGTATGTATATGGACCACGCTTAATATATGTTTCTATGTAGACAGTAAAATAGATATTACTTTTCCAATAGGTGCAACCCTAAAGCCCAAAATACAATAACGCAGTGGTAGTGGCAGCGGCAGTTTTTCGAAATCAGCTGTTTTTTAGAAAGTGTGGTGTCCAATGATGCGCCTCACAATACATCAGTGGCAGCTAGCAGTACTGCTCAGTTTAGCCCAAATTCTAAATTCACTGCGACTACCTTCATCGCAGCAAACTTCGCGTGTTGAATTTGATATAAATTAAGACCAACCAACTTCTGTTGATGTCACTGAAGCCTAACAGGCAACAACAAAAATGTAAACAAACAAAAGGGAATGTCAAAAAAGGCAGTCACTGACAATGCCGTATTGTATTTGCTGCGGAAATTACTGCCAATGTTAGCAGTAACAGCTGATTTTAAAAACTGTCACTGCCACTGCCACTGCGCTATTTTATTTTGGGCTAATAAAAAATATTTTCTAACTAAAGTTTTATTAAAACTCTTTCATTTGACACATAGATTTTAATATTTCATCTAACTTGAGTATAAGCTAAATAAATTGGACTCTCACAGGTGGTAGCCCTCTTTAAAAGTATTTTCAATCTAAAATTTTTTTAAACCTCTTCCGTCTGATAGTTTGACACCTAATTCAATTAACTAATGGATTCAATTAAATTTGAATTTTTAACCCGTGGCAAGTCTCTAAAACACATTTCAGAAATAAATCCTTTTCAAACCCATTCCGATTGCAACACACCATTAATTAATTCATTTAACTTATTAAATAATTTGGATGTAACATTTTCAACAGCTGGCAACCCTCCTCAATACCTCAAAGAAATTCTAATGTTAAAACTACATAAGGATTTCTTAGCACTCTTTATTTATATTCCATATAACTTGTATTGCAGCACATCAGCAGGTCAATCCCTTTAAGTTGATATCTCAGTTTTGAAAATCGAAAGGACGGTGGCATTTATTAATAATTAATTTGAATGTGATTTTTTATCAGGTGGCAACTGTCTTCGAAAAAATAAAACCAGTTTGCACATCTACATGCCAGGCGCTTTAATTTGATGCCTCATACGAACGGTGCAGATTTTATGTCCTGGACAAAAATTCCCTTCGCGTATTGTATATATATATGTATATATATATATAGGTATAGATGGGTATCATAGAGGAAGAACAAGTTTTACTTCAGCCGTGCGTGGTATCCACACAAAACATTTTTTTCGTGGCTCCTCAAACACTTATTTATTTATTTTTTTAATATAGTATTTCATCAAAACAATTGTATTTTTTTTGGCATATACCAAACATTAACATTTTGTTTATTTCCATTTCGTAACGATGTTGTAAATTAAAAGTTTGTAAAAATCCTATCGGATTACAAATAAAAAGTTGTAAGCCTAAGAAAAGTACAGGAATTGAGCCTATACATAAAATCAAAATTTTTGGAAACTGAGTAAAAGATATAGCCACATACCCAGACAACAGCTAATCAAGAAGGTATAAATATATACAATAAAAAACAAGAAAAGCCGCAGTGTGCTATGCAAGAATAAAGCGAAGAAGCAAACATTTGATCACCATTGACATACATACAGTGACGAGCAAAACTGTAACATGGTGTAACACTTTTTATTTCAGCCACCGCTATCTTTCCAACTTCTAACGACTTTCATACTTTTGTTGTATATTCTTATTGGTACACCCCTACTCCCTCTCTCATAAAGATTTGAAGTCAATCCAACAACAATAATAAAACCAGCAGGCAAAAATGTAAATTAAGGCCAATGTTACAGTTTTGCACTCACTCTCAGTTTTGTATTTTACAGTTATCTTTTACTTAGTTGGAAGTCAGATGACTTTTTTCTGTATTGTAATTTATTCAAGAAGAGATTACCAGTAAATAGTATGGTTAATCAGGAAACATAAATGTAAATAATATATCTACTGCGGAAACGCGGGACCGTAGGAAAAGTGGCAAAAAATTATGGAGCTCGCCACGTGAAAATATTAAGATTGAGAAAAAATATAGCCTAAAAGGTTATTAAAGACAAAGGAAGTCTGCCAAAAAATATTACGGTCCGATATCTTGTGAACTTAGTAGCAAGTAGCGCTGCAGCCACTATTACAGAAGCGCTTAAGGTATTAAAATTGAATGCAAATCATTAGACAGCGAGGGGAAAAATTGTCAAATTGAACGCAAAGTCATAATAAAAGAAGAAAAAGCCATTTTGATCAAAATACATGTGCGAGAGTGGTAGCATTTTGCCGGATCGCACGACAACCGGACCGTTGCCTTTTGGGATATGTTAGCCCTTACAGAATGCAATAACAAAACAAATTTTTAAGATTTAATTGAAGGTTAGTTGGTCTGACAAGACTAAATTAATCGCTTTCAATCAGGTGGCCAGGCATGGTATTGGATCAAAGACTCAAATTAAGCCTTAGCGAATCATGTAAGGCAAACCGCGAACCACAGTGATCGGTCAATAATAGTTTGGGGTTGTATTTCAAAAATATTGTTGGTCCCTTAGTACGCATTATGCGTAAAGAACAGTATCTGTTCATATTTCAACAAAACTTGCAAGATGTAGTCGAAAAATGAGAGTTTCTGCTGAAAAATCACCCAAAACATACTGCATATGTTCGCAACGACTGGATGCAAAAGCAAAAATTCGCTATTTTGAAATGACCTCCACAATCCGCGGATATGAATTTCGTCGAAAATTTGCGAAATCAACTAAAAGCGCAGCTTACTAAGTATGCAAGTCCGTCCATTGGAGTACATGAGTTATGAAAGCAAACCAAGGATATATGGGAGGCTATACCTCCAGAATTTTTACAGAGATACAAATAAGGTATGCCAAATAGCATCCAGGAACTAAAAAAAGCAAAAGTATATTGAACATTGTGTTAACAATTCTTTTTTTGTGTGAAAGTTGTCAAAAAGTTATTAAAAATATATAAGTGCAAAACTGTAACATATGCCTTAATTTACATTTTTGTCTGCTGGTTTTATTATTGTTGTTGGATTGACTTCAAATCTTTATGAGAGACGGAGTAGGGGTGTACCAATAAGAATATACAACAAAAGTATGAAAGTCGTTAGAAGTTGTAAAGATAGCGGTGGCTGAAATTAAAAGGGTTACACCATGTTACAGTTTTGCTCGTCACTGTACATATACATATACTTACACAAATAGGTTACAATGGAGCCGCCTATTATTTACTTTAATTTACTATGAACTCGAAAGTTTTAAAGTGTATACAATATCTACAAAATTACAGGGTGCAAAAACATGAACTTGACGAAAAAATGTAGTTGAAATTGTAAATTATGTGATTGTGCATATTCATATAGAAGGGTTTTATAAATGACCTGAGATATAAATTTTCGTTTCGTGATTTTGTATAGATTGTGCCTTAAAATTCCTTTAAGGCGTTTAATCCGAAAATCCACAAATTTTTTTCTGTCATGTAGTTTTTGAGATATCGCCACATAACGCATTTAAAAAAAAGAGAAAAGATGGATTATACAAATTTTTCAAATTTGATGAACTCGTTAACCGATCAGAGCAGATGCTATATTAAATGAAAGATAATTAAACTTGCTATATTTCCATTGCTATGATATCATTAGTTGGTTTTCCAAGTAGCAAATTATTATGTTATTTATAGTCATAAATGGGAATTTTGTATATGAAAATAAACATCTTCAACAACGTCTTTTGGTAATTTCAATCGCAATAATCAAAATTCGCTATGTGACGATATCTCGAAAACTGCACGATAGAAAAAATTATGTCGATTTTCGCACTCAATGACCGATTTCACATAGTAATTGGGTGATTTGGTCCGAAAAGCACCTAAACCCCTATGGATATGCCAATTGTCAAATACGCATATGTCTGGACTTTATTTTCACCACGAAGACATAAGAAAACAATAAAACTAAAAAAGTCAGGTCATCGTGAAACTCCCTTCAATAGAAATTCGTTCTCTATAGCCAGTGCATAATACGATAAAAGTACAAACGCAATTCTAAATATACCGTGAAAACATTCAAACCAATTTGTATTGAATATACTAATACATCAAATCAATTGATGTGTGCATCATATCTTCCTTCCCGCAGGGATAATGCGTAATGTGTGTAAATTACATAGCTGCTTTTACGTTACTACACGAACAGAAAACACTCCATAAAGAAGATATACATGTACATACAAATCAATTAACGCAGAAGCGTCAAAATAAAAAGAAAAAAATATCATGTGAATATTGAAGGAAACCATGATAAGTTTTTTCAACTAAATACTTTCATTTAAAGTCTCCACCAATTTTTTTTTATCTGTCTATACAATTTTAAGAATTTGGGTATTTATGAAGCTAACCTCAGTTTCGATGATTTTCTCAATGTATTCAACAGTTCGCAGTTGAGGTCGTCCTGTGAGAGGACATGGTACCTCTTCGGTTCGCCGCACAATTTTTTCATCTAGTATCTTTTCACGTTCGCGTATTATAACGGGACCATCGCTTGATTTTATAGCGATTTTTGGGAAAACAATTTTTTTAACCTGCTACAAATAAATATGAAAAAAAAATATGATAATGGTAAATTGTTAGCAATGATTTTTACCGAATAACTACATTTATAGGTACACAATGAATGGCTTTGAAGTGAGGTATGAATGAAGTATGAAGGTTACAGAGCTAAAACGAAAACATTCCTAAACCCTATATAAACTCTCTAAAGTAATTTAATTAAGAACAAATATCAGACAGAGGTTCTTTAAGTATGTATAGTTGGGCCTATAACGCCTGTAAGAGTGTGAAAGAAATCAATTGATTAAACAAATCAAATTTCCAAGCGTATGCTACATATAACGTAGCTTGGCGCGCAATACCTCGTATCCGCCAAATGCACTATCACTTATAAGACAGTCCGAATTTCAAAAAGGAGCGAAGAAATTTATTTTCGTTAAAACTTTTAAATGGCTTTCCACCTAAACTTACTAAATGTGAGTTTCTACTATAATTATTGACCATTAAATTGGTGAAGTAGGGAAGCATTGAGAAAGGGTAACCAAAATAAATTTTTTTCTATGCCACCTCATACGTGGCATTGCATTTGGCAGATACGAGATATTGCGCGCCAAGCGACGATAAACGTGTACATGTCGAAAAGTGCAATACACCGCCCGAACAAAGTATTGGCACAGAAATTTTTCATAATATATGCAACAATTTTTATTCTAATATTTTTTTGCCAATTTCGTATAAAAATATGGTTTATTCAACAACAAAAAACACAAAAATATAATTCCTAAGCTTTGTGCGATACTCGCCAAAATTCAGCAAATTTTCATCAAAATTTTCAACTTTTTAATCATATTTTTGAGAATTTTTTTTAGTATGCAGTTTTGCAGCCCATTAAGTTCTAGTAATAAAATGCAAGTTAGGAGTTAGTCAAAAATCGCGTTGATTTTTGAGAATTTTTTTTGTTGAAGGTGTTTTGCATTTTTTCCATATAAAGTATTTTCGAAAAAAAATTGTTGTATGGAAGAGACTGCGTGGAAAAAAAATGCCAAAAATCAACGGTAATTTCTTCCTACTTAAATCTTGCACTTTATTATAATAAAATTCATTGGGCTACAAATCTGCATACTCAAACAAATTCTAAAAAATCTTCTTAAAAAATTTTAAATTTTCATGAAAATTTGCTGAATTTTCGCGAGTTTTGCACAAAGTTTAGGAATTATATTTTTATGTTTTTTGTTGTAGAATGAAACATATTTTTATACGAAATCAGTGGAAAAATATTAGAATGAAAACTTTTGCATATATTGTGAAAAATTTGCTGTGCCAATACTTTGTTCGGGCGGTGTACTTTGAAAAAATAAGGAATGTCTTAAATAAAAGAGGTTGCGATCTCGTTCCGTTCCTCCAACACTTTCTTCCGTAGTGCATTAAAATTTCAAGTACAATAAATTCAAAAACATATGTCTTCATTTATGTAGTCAAGGTATTGGGCCCATGCTCGCTTCCTTTATTTGCTTCACTTTGAGAACTTTCAAACATTTTTCGAATTCTACTAAACTGTAGGAAAGTTGGCGAAATTGTAGCTTTACTCACTTGCATCATAGGCTTTTGGCATGGAGGTCCTTAATGAATTTAAGTGAATTCCTACAGGCTGAGCTAATAATATAAAACTACATGTCAATTGTATCTTGAAAATCAGCATTTTTAAGTTACGAGTTTTTTTAAGTACTATAAATTAGCGATATGTATGTCATTATTATCTTTTCTTTGAAACACAAAACTTAGTCGATCAACCCGACGTTTTCGATGGACGAAAATATCGTACGCAAGCCAACGACGGCCAAGATCAAATCGGTTAAATCCTCGCCAAAGTAGAATTAAGTTGATCGAGTTGATCCATGTCCAAACTGTTAATAAATCAACGCAAACAAATTTACTATTTATTTACCTACATATGTACTAAGATGCATTTTTAAAGTGGATTTAAAAATCACAAATAACGTTAGCCCATCAAAAAGATATGAGTACATTTATGCTAAGAACGTAATTTGCGAAACGACTTCGAATCGAATTCAGTTTCGAATCGTTGGGGTGAACATTTTGTTCGGCCGGCGGGCCCCAAAAACGACTCGTCGGTGAACCACAAAAACAACGTACCAGCGAACTGCAAAACGGTGCCAAAAATGTATGCAGTACTAAGAAATTGCAACTGGATTGTTTTTTTTTCAATGCATTATTTAAAAAATAGATATCTATGTCCACCTTATGCCAGAAACATGAACGTGTAAAAATGAAAATGTTGGAAAATCTAGTTTGAAAGTTTTTTATTCATGTAATTGACATTGTAAAATACGTGGTTTCCATGTACGCATGCTATTCTAGGTTTTGGTATAACATAGAACATCCAAAGGTTAATCAAGTCAATCCAATAACTCAAAATGGGTAAATTTGTTCATGAATACTTCTGGCATAAGGGTGACGATATTTACATATCTCGATGGTCCTGTGCATTCAAAAAATAAAAACTATTGCTACTGTTAAGTGGCTCATGTTTCTAATCCTTGTCGAATCCATGTTTAATCTTTTGTACTTACTTTAGCAATCCTAACTACTTACTTATAGACAAGAGCTACTTAACAGTAGTAACAGTTTTTTTTTTTTAAGTTTGAATTGTCTCGTTATTGCACAGGACCATCGATATGTACATATCGACGGCTGAGTGGAAGATCGCCCTATCTCGGCTGCCGATTCGAAAGCGTTTCAATGACGCCCTATCTCAACTGCCGATATATATATATTTAAATTATATAGTGGGATAGTGCGTTTTAGAAAGCGGCAGTTGATATATGGCGTTTCTGAAATGCTGAGATAGGGCGTTCTTCAACAAAATTCTGAAATAGAGCTTTTTCAACCGTTTGCTGAGGTATGGCGCTTTCGAGTCGGCATCTGCGGCAGGACGATCTCCCACTCAGCTGACAATATGTACTGTATTCTAAAACAAAAGCCATATATGTACATCCAAATATCAAACTGTGTGCAATATTAAAATCAACCCGATTTCCTGAAAATTTCATACTTTTTATCAGAAACTAAAAAAAAGGCATGGAGTTATATGCATAGACCATTCAAATTTTAGAATAATACATATAGTGCAAGCTTGAAGTGGCTCAAAACTAGCATTCAGTTTTTATAGTTCCTCGAGCTCCCCATACCGACGTCGAAACGAACTCGATTCGAACTCGCCCTCGTCCTGTAGTAAATTGGGAAATTACAAACGTTGCTCTTAGCAGTGAATAAGCTTCGTCACTCAGTACGGCTCAAAGATCGAATTAAGCAACGTACATATTTTACGTACGTACATATGTGTGTGTCTTGCTTTAAACCTACCTAGTCAGCGAAGGAACAATTAAGTGGCTTCCAAAAGGCTTTTCCTATTGATTTTATGAGAAGAATTTCGTCCGATTCTTCACCATTTATATTTTTGCAATGGTCACAATTTCAAGGAGTTCGCTTTCCACCGAAAGACAAAATTTTTACCAAATAATAATGACGTAGTACGAATTTATCTTGAACCCAGACACACAACGACATGACTACCTCGACTGTATTCATTATTTGCTTTGCGCTGCTTTTCAAAACAGTTGAAGCCTACGAACAGCAGACTAAGATATGTCGTCAGGGATGTCAATCAAGAAATGTATACAGACAAAGCTAGCCGACCATTCGAAAAACAATTTGTATGCTTTTTTGAGGATTACTCTTCAGTTAAAACAGGATTTTCTACAGATATTAATTGCAATATCACTTAAATGTGGGTAATTAATCATCAGTATAGTTAGTTGCTAAAAGATATATTTAATTATTTATATGTATAAATGAACATACGTATGTATATTACTTAGGCAGGAAAATGCAAAAAACAAGCACCACATTTTAATCCATTTGACAATAATGCGTGTAGTAGGTACGTATGCATGAAGGTTACGACATTTTGCAACAAGCCATTAGTTCAAGCAAATCTGTACCAAGGTGTATTAGAGATCCTTGGATTGGGAGGGACTTTTTTAGAAAGCTTTTATATAAAAGTGGTTATGATGAAATGAATGCCAGTTGTACATAATGATTACATCGAAACTTTGCATACAAACCTCAACAGGTGCAACAAGTAGATCATCAGCAATTTTGTTCATATTTTTGATGACGTCTTGAGCCTCCTGGGCACCTTGTTCCAGGGAGCGCAAGCGAGCAGCACGCCAGGACGCTCGTTTCTCAGCACTATAGATGGAATAAAGGTGAATAAAATTTTAATTCATTTTATCAATGTTTAAATAAATTATAATATACTAAAAGAAACACGTATAATTGACTCAGAATTGGAAAAAATAAGCTAAGGAAAATAACCAAACACATACACAAAGAGAACACGTAAGATGACTCAATACAGGGTGTAGAAAACATTGAAGAGAGCTATTGCTTATTTGTATGTACCTTTTTTTGCTAATTAATACACACACCATAAACCAATAAATATTTACATACTCAAAAATCATTAAAAAAAACATAAAAAGGGTACTAATCTAAATGTGTAAAACCCAAGTATACCTCATAAGCCGAATATATTTATTACCGCATAAACTAACAGCTAGAACTCATATAATGCTTTAAACAATTAAATAATTTTACGCTATGATTTCGTCTAATGAATAATTGAATAAACTTATACAGCAACATACATATACATACATATGTATGTGAGTTTCCAGCTTTAACACTCACATCTGACTGCAAAAAAACAAATTAAAATCCAAATTACATGATATTTTATCTTAAATAGCCCAGTGAATTAAATATGATTATACAATGCTGGTATCAGGTGCATTTATATAAGAACGCAGGTAAAAGTGTAAATTTGAAATTTGCTAATTTTAAGAGTCTAGATAAAAGCTTTACTAAAGCTTTTCAAATTTATGAAACAAAGAGGTAGTTTGAACACTATACTTAAAAAGGATGCAGGGATCGTTATGAATCGCGTGCATTATATAAAATTATGGAAGAATATTTGCCTATGTATGTATGCATTCAATTACCTGCATTGAGGTTGTGAAGTACGGTCGTATGGATAGTGCGAGTGTGATAAAATGGAACTGAATTATTTTCAATGTGCTCACTTAAAACTACATACATACTATATACGTTTATACAAAATTGACAGTGTTTTTAAATGACATCTAACGGGGCATTCATAAATTGATAAATTCATATGTATGCTTAAATATTTTTACGAAAATTCTAGTACTCAACCACTTATACATATGTATCTCAATATTTATTAAGCAAATTTTTTGTTCCAAGCAAGGCACATTCAGCAAGGTAGAATGGATTTCTGACCGACTTCTACTCATACTACATATTGGTTGATAATAATAAATATTGCTCGCAGATAAAAATTCAGCTAAGTATATTTCTCGCAACACATGATTTGGTAAATATAACCAAATAATATTACTATAACCAAATCGCGTGTTGATAGAAACATATATAGTTGACGTAACTAAACTCTTTTCTCAGTATGGGTATACATATAAGTAAGTTTTAAAGGATTGTCAACATAGGGCATCAGTAGTGTTTAAGCATACCGGGCAATGTTGCAGCCAACTTCATGTTAAAGCATCATCATTTAACCACATTTTACAGTATGTACTATGCCTACAAAACTCCATTCGCGGGAAGAATTGGTAGAAAATTGCAGCAGAAAGTTATCGGCTGCAGTGTGAGGCTTACGGAGACCATGCTCCATCAATTTCAACCTGTCAGTATTGCTTCCGACGTTTGCAAAGTGGTGACTTTGACACCATAAAGGTTTGGAGATGCCGAATCGGAGGCAATTTTGGACGAAGACCCGTGCCAAACCCAAGAAGAACTTGCAGGAGTATTAAGTGTGACTCAACTAGATATTTCATTGCGGTTGAAAGCCATTGGTATGGTGCAGAAAGTCGAAAACTGGGTGCCTCACGAACTCTTCTGTTAATCAAATGTTCCTTCAACGGTACAAAGCGAAGTCGTTTTTACATGGCATTGTACCGTCGATGAAAAATGGATTCATTACGACAATCCAAAGCGCCAGAACATGGGACATATCCCATTTGGTCTTTTTGTCCCCCTTGCTACGAAAGGTTGCGTAGGGGGATTACAAAATTTACTATATTCTAAGACGTCCACCAAAATATTTCGGAAAAATATTAAGATTTAACCAAGCTGGGCCGATTTGAAAATACCTCCAAAAATGGAGTTTTTTATGAATAAAAATAGTTTATTAAAGAACTTTTTGAAAAAAGTCTCCTCAGATGACAAAACAGATAAGGCTTAAAAAATCTGCATTAAAATATTTAAAAACTTGTCAACGGAATCGCAATAATGAGATTGCTTATGCTGTTTTTTTTTTACTTTTTCAAAGATTGATTTACGAAAAACTTAAATAACGGGGCCAAAACTATTCTGATTTAGACTTACGGGATCTCAGTAGAAAAGTATTTTCCCAGTATTTTTATTTCTTAGCAAAAAAAGTCATTCGTGCCCCTTTGTTTTTTAAATACCAACACATCTTAATTCAAAATTGAATGAAGCTCGTTCATCCTACCTTTCTCTTTCATCCTTTGAATGAGAGTATTAGCAAAGAAATAAAAAGGGTGAGAAAATACCTTTCCAATGATACCTCACGAGTCTAAATCGGAAGAGTTTGGGTTCAGTTATCCAAGTTTTTCGTATACCAATCTTTGAAAAAAGTTAAAAAACAGCAACAAAAAGCTCATTATTACGATTCCGTTGAACATTTTTAAAAATTTTTTAAAAATATTTTTATGCAAATTTCTTAAGCTTAAACCGTTTAGTCATTTGAGAGGACTTTTTTCAAAAAAAATCTTAAAAAACTATTTTTATTCATAAAAAACTCCATTTTTGCAGGTATTTTCAAATCGGTCCAGCTCGCTTAAATCTTGATATTTTTCCGAAATATTTTGGTGGACGTGGATAGAACGTGAACTAGTTGGGCCGAAACGCAAACTGGTAGAATTCTAGTTCACAACTAGTAGCTTTCCCTGCAGAGATACTTATGAATGTACATCAGGGTGGTCCCATAATGCATATGAAGAAGTAAAGTCGGAATTGTTCTATACCAAAAAAATATACCCTTGTTTTTTTATTTTGAAAGCAAAAAATATTTAGGGAGGGGCCAAAGCGCTCAAAGTTTTCTATGCATTTTATATGGCTGAAAACAACTTTTCGCAGACCAGAGTTGGGCATTATTCGAATAAATTGTTATTTAGATAATTATTCGAATAAAATTTTATCCGTAATATAATTATTCGCAGATAACTCATTTACGAATAAATTATTCGTGAATAATTTGCTTTCGAATAATTTATTCGTTGTTTTATTCGTTATTTTAAATAATGAATAAAAATTCATTTTTAACACATTGAGCCACCTTTTACTTTTATTTCTATTGTCAAGGATTGTGAGTTAGCTGAATTTTGTATACTATTTTATCAAGAATACTAGCTCATTCCCTCTGGTTTCGCGGCCCCTGATAAGATTTTTTGCGTTGGCCCATGCAAGAATAGCGTTGAAAACCAAATATGGGTAAAGTAAAAAATCTTAATTTAGGTTGAACAACTAAAGAGCAGAACCCTTCTCACACATATTTCTGCCAAAAAAATAGCGCTCTGATGCTATATGCAAGAAAAAATCCCTTTCAATGTCATGAGCTTTACCGATGGTCTTATTTCCACTTGTGAGATCTTTTCTAAGCGTGCGTAATCTTCTTCTATGATCTTGCAACTACAACATTGGTCCGATGCGTCTAGAGGACTTATGTCATGTAGGCCAACAAAAGTCCTTATAAGGAAGCTGAAGAGCACAGATGTGCGTTTTCTATTATAGGAGAGCCAAAAACCCTCGATGTAAAATTTGGCCATTGATATACCAACAGTGGTCTTTCTTGGAAGGATGTGGTCGTTACTTTCCTTGCTGATTCGCCACTTTAAAAATATCCAAGAGCTGGTTTCCTTGAGTCTTACTGCTGCAGCACTGGCCGCCCGAGCAATTTCATCAAGCGGAGGTAGATGCAAAGTCGCATTTAGGGTGTATGACGACGTAAGACATCGTAAATTCATATAATTAATATAAACATAAAAAACAAAGTAGTCCAAACATATGGGGTTTCTAATGATTTCGATTGCAGCACCATTATGAATTGCAACCTGATTGTACAATAAATAGGGATTTTCTAAATAACTCAACTGCAGCGCCACCTAGCGGGTCCATTTTTCGCATAAGTATTTTTCATCATGCAGGAAGAACACATTTTGAATTTTAACGAAATCGGTTCATAAATACGGCTTTTATAAATAACTCGGCTCCATCGCAACCAAGGAGTTTTCTAGTAGCCTTTATCGCAGGGAATAACCTCCGAAAATTTGACTTAGATCTATCCAGAGGTTTGAGTTAAATCGCAACAACGAAAACGGTTATCATTTTATACATAAATATATGTACATATCTACATACATAAATTACTTCTTTTATTATTATTTTATTCGTTATTCGAATAATTAATGAAGATAATAATTATTCGAATAACGAATAAAATAATTTATCCGTCATTCGAATAATTTTTTTTTTTAATAAACAAAATTATTTATTATTTACGAATAACAAGAAAAACAAGTTATTCATTTGTTATTCGTCATTCGAATAAATTTTGCCCAACTCTGTCGCAGACATGGTACAGAATTCTTGAAAATCAATATTTTTCGATCGGAAACCCCTGTTTCCCTTCAGGATATTTCTGTTTCTCTTCAGGATATTCCCAACAATAATACCCAATTGTTTCTTAAACCATTTTTTTCATGGTAACTATATTTTATAGGTCCGTCAAAACCCCCAGAAAATGTAATAAGGGACCAATAAAAAATCTTTAGTATTAAGAAAATGCTTTAGTAAACAATTAGATATTAACATTGAAAGTCTCCTGAAGAGAACCCGAGTTTTCCGATAAAAAAAAATATTGATTTTAAATACATGGACAACTTTGAGCACTTTGAACACTCCTTAAATATTTTTTGATTTGAAAATAAACAATAGGGGTGTATTTTCTCGGTATAGAACAATCCTAGAGGATGGCGGCATTAAAATTTCGACTTTAGTGTTTTTGGACCACTCGAATGTACGTATACGTATGTATGTATTTGACTGTGCTCATACCCGCAGTTATCAGCATCTTTCTAAAGAAGCGGTAAAATTTTCGGAAAATTTAGTTTTTAAGCTTTCTCCTAATAAATGTATTCCCCATAATACATATTTGACATCCCCAACAGTATAAGTCGACTCGTTGATTAAAGAATTAATTCTACTTCAGGCTAATCTATTATTATTGCATTACTATTTTAAAACATTTACATAACTTTTCTTCTTACCATTTTCGTGCAACTTTTCTTATAGCTTTTTCCTGCAAATGGGGTTTGGACTTACTTAATCACTGCTTTGCTCTGCCTCATATTTGTTGGAGACTGCTCGCGTTGAATTACATTAGGTGAGCGATCCCCCATAGCAATAACAACATTTTCAACACCGACAACCCCAACTTGAGCCGCTATTCCCTCCGCCGCAGCAGCTGCCTTCAGTACTCGCCTTTCAGCATTTGCCGTGCGAACAGGAATGCGACTGGAAGGTGTAGATAGTGATAATTCGTGTTGTTCTTCTTGCTGCGGTTGTTGTTGGCATTGCTGTTGCTGTTGCTGGTGCAGTAGCAATGCAGGTGGTATAACAACTTTAACTCTTGGCTTCGGTAGAAGCGACGGTTTCTCCTTGGTCTCCTTGGACGTACGCAACGTTGGTGCAGTAGAAATCACACTCTCAATGCTACTCGCCGTATCTTCAGCATCATTGAAATCGCTGGTGACCTCTATGTGCTGCTGACGTTCAGCGTCCATAAATTGCGCTACAGTGCTTCTTAGTTTCTGAGCTACGGTACGTGGTGCGGGGTCTGGTGCCGTTGTTGATGTTGGTGATGTAAGTGCAGATTCTACTTTAGTTTTGGGTGCTTGCACTATTGTTGTACTTGTGATTTTAGTACGTGGATCAGTCAAGGACTTAACAAGTGCCGGTGATTTGAATGTAGCCAAGTGTGGCTGTTGAATTGTCCATTCGGAAGTTATTTGTGACGCTTTTTGTTGTGGTGGGTTTGTGTGAGGAGGTACTGAAGGAGGTACCACTCGTTCATCGCTACGCTCTATGGGAAATTTGTCGTCTGTGGGAGACTTGCCCTGATTTGCTACATTCTCCTTTGCCTTCGCTTTCGTCTTTTTCGATTTTTCGTATTTACTTGTCGGCGTTTGCGGTTCTGCATCTTGCTTTCGGATCCGTAACCGCTGTTTCTGAAGCTGAGATAATGGTGGTGACGGTGATTCGATCCTTTTAGGTGTTGTGCAATTCAGCATGTTTTTAATTTGGGATTTTATTGAATTCGTGTGAAAATTTTTACAAGAATTAGAACAAATTTACGAATCATTACTTACATATATGCTTGTGATGGCAGTGCACATTAATCTGACATGAACGAATGCAAATAAATAATGGGAACACTGAGTTATTTTTTGCACTAATAAATTACCAAATGCAACCAAACCATTCTTTATTAATTTAGAGATTTTCATGTAATTATTTTGTTAGTCACAGTCGCTTACGGATGATGAATAATTGACGTGGATGTGAATATCGGTGAATATATATGTATGTAAGTATGTATATCTAAGTATGTATGCACATAACGCATTTGAAGTCATATTCCGTGCTCAGTAGAGATACCGTGAAGTTTAAATCTATCTATGAATTCCAATGCACATTTTCTGGTTTCTATAAAAATTACACAGGCCAACAAAATTTAAACAATGTTATGTCGACTAAAATATTACAGCCGATTCTTATAGGATTTGGTACAGGAATTTTTTCAGTATGTGGATAAAGGCCGTTAACCGTTTAACCATAATTTTGTAATTTTGAGTATTAAATGGCAGTGTTTGGGCTTTCATATCCTACACCCAGACGGGTATATTGCATCAAGTTATTGTTTTACAGAGGCTCTAAAATGTCCAAAAACGCGTTTCTAGGCAGCTTTAAACCTAAGTTGCTCGATAAATAGAGCCAATCCAATATCTTTACGGTCAGATTCGGATTATAGGAGAAAAATCATATAAGAATCGGCTACAATTTTTCACTTAACAGAATTTTGTTGGCCAGTGTTATACATTTTAAAACGTTTTATAATTTTAAATGCTTTGCATTTTTATAATTAATTTGGTTAACGAAAATCCATAGCTAGAGGTAAAGTTAACAAATCATAAACAATTACCTGCTTTGATTGAATGTTTTTCAAGCAAAAAAGGAACTTATTCCCCATTTAGTAGTAGTAGTTATTTTATAATCAAATTGTACATAAATTGGTTCGATTTTCATATGCATCCCGTTTGTAAGTACCCCTGGTTATTAGCCATTGAAATTTTATCGGTTTATAGATAAGTCCCCTTCGAAAATTATCTTATCCGACTTGAAATTGACATGTAATATAATGAATTATTGTGCATAGTAAATAATAAAAGCAGGCTTTGATTTATAGTATTTGAAAAATTAGAGGATGAAAATATAAGAATCTTATGTTATATGAATGTTGATTCGCCTTAAAGAAATATCTTGCTGTACAAATATTATACCTGGATAAGTAAACCCGATTTTTAACACCTTGCTAAATATACCTCATCATAAGTTTTTGAAATTACAAAAAATTGTTGACTCTCACAAAAAAACCATCTCGTTATGCAAATTATCTTTAAAAGGTTCAACTGTTAATAGCTAAGGTAGCTTTGGGACAATCTTAACCACCTTACATAATATAGAAATGTTAAGCCAGTTTCTTTAGCTTTAAAACGAAGTATCTACGATACGCAGAACCCAAGATATAAAGATTTGAATTAGAGCAAGATTTTAGCTTATTTCATGTATAGAACCCATAAAAAAAATTTAAGCCAATCGAAAGTGTGACACCAAAGTTGGTATCCGATATGAAAAGGATGTCTCATATCGTATATTTTAACCCACTGATTTATATGAACGAACAAAAAAGAGTGTTTGCTGCCCCTTATTCAGAAACTTGGGTCCGGTTTAGTTATTTGTACAATGTTTTCCGGTTGTTGTCTCCAAACGCATCATTATGCTATAAGCTATAATGGCTTTGGTAACAAATATTTTTCCGTGATGCTACTTAATTTCAAATATAGGCGAAAGCAGCTATTTTTGCACTTTTAGGTAAGTATATCTTTTAAACCAGAGCCAACAGTGAATTCTGAGTTCAGATTCGAGTTCAGCGCACCGAAAACCTTCGGAAATTTATATAAAAGTTTCTGTTCTGAGATTTAGCCAAAATTTTGTCGGCCTGTGTAATCTTAAGCAACTGCACTTCCAAGTAAATTGTTTGATCAAAAAAGAAACATGTCAAATAAATGTTAAATACCTTCACGCGAATAATCCATGACACTTAAAGAATTGCCTACAATGGAAAAAGAATATATTGCTTCGTGTGTTTTGAATTTTTTTTTTATTTTTATTACACGTTCTCATATGTATGTGTACAAAAGTCACATCACTTTTTTACTCAGCCACCAATTTTTTTGATTCCTGCGTGTCGAAACATGGTTTTTCGTAATTATGTTGTTGCGTATCTGACTTCGGTAGGTGTTATACAGACGGATTTTGTTTTTGAAAAAGAAGAAGCGAGTTTGCGACGCACATATTATCACTTAGACTTTCGATAAATGCTACTCGATGAATAAAAGTTAATTTTTTATCCGACTTCAAAAAAGCAGGAGATTATCAATTCGTTTATTTTTTTATTTTATGTCTTTTACCGCTTTCCGATGTGTATTATTCTTTTTTAAAGCAAAGGTGGCACTTCGAAGATCCGATCATTGGATCATGAAGAAATCAACGGTACTCTTAAATTTGTATATGAGAATTGAAGTCAGTTTTGATTTTTGCTTAAAAATTACTTGTTTTCACTTTCATTTTGTGTATACCAATTCTTTTTTATTTTGTAAAATACATTTGTAAAATTGTATAAGAGTTAGCGTAACCGCCTTCTGTTCATATGCTTAAATGATTCTCCCTACAAATCAGCGCTTGCTACAACTAGAGATCCGACCGTCTACGCGAGTTTTCAATCCCGAGCGCATGAAGGTTAACAGGAACTGGGGAATTGATTTTATTCAAAATTTCGAGTTTCTCTTCTTTTTGCACTAAAAAATTAATATCAACAAATAAAAATCCAAAAATGGGGCCCGACAGGTCTCTTCTAAATCTCATCAATTTTCAAAAAAATAAATACGAAATCGGATGAAAATTACAACCTGCAAAGAATTTTGAAATATTGGGCCATATGCATAAAATAGGGCTGACGGGTACCCGGGTACCCGGGTATTACCCGATTTGCCCAGGTACCCGGGTAATATACATATGTTGGAGCCGGTTAAACGAATAACACCCGGGTAATGCCACATGAATCTTTTTGGCGACGATAGATACAGTATATTTTGCTTTGCTGCCTTTATGCTTTAAGATACCTACCCTAAAATGCGCATCAGGGGCATTATTTTTCACATTTATAAGGAAACTGCTCCGATAGATGCATTTAACATAACTGCACATTAGCGATACTTGCCTTAAAAATTATGCAACTATTATCAATTATCACAGAAAGTATCACGTTTACCTACCCTGGCTCTACACTTACCCTAATTTTACAAGCTCTTATTTATTTTGCTCATCTCGCAGAACTACAAAAACGGCTATAATTTTATATAGTTATAAAGATAGTTAGATACCATTCGGAAAAAATTTCGCTTGCAGTAATTTCTACGTGGGAAGTGCTCCTCCATTATTTGGTCTCATAGGGATTCGGATACCTTCCTCATTGAAGTAGTAAACAACATTCGCTTAAGTGCTTTTTTCGGTTAAGCGCAGAAGTTTTTCGTGCAAAGAAGAAGGGGCAGCTAAGCAAACTATACTGTATTTTTTCAGTGAGACAATTTTTTTGTATAATTTTTTTTTGATGTCTAGAACGTACGCGACTATGTCCACCTAACCGCTAGCCTGAGTAGACGCAGACAAAGTAAATTAAACCACTAGTTTCTGTACTTAAATTCAAACTTCTAATATTTGTAAATGCATATACATACATTAGGGGTGTTAATTTTTTCGATTTTTAGGATCCCGGTATTGTCGGGATGGCAATACAAAGCACTAGATTTAATTGACAATAGTCAAACTACATAGACCTAAAATTTCTACAGAGAAAGTACACATTTGAGATCGATTTTAAGCGGTCGTTATTCATATATCCACATACATACATATATTACCCTTCATATCAATTCTGGTCTATTACATGCGCCCCACGCTTTTCATTTTTAATCTCATAAATCGTTTATAATGACTTTTGCTAAAATTTCAAAATCTAAAGTTATCAAAACAAATTCTATGGGACTGAGAATTATTATTTTCTACTTTTTAGTCCATTTATAAAAGCGTTCTATATTAAAAAGTTTTTTTTATATTATTTATTTTCTACCTTTTAGTATTGTCTGTATAAAATTTTGCAATAGATATTAAAATAATTCAACGATATTAATAGATTGGTGCACACACATGCATATACATATGTATGTACATACATACGAGCACCAATTAATTTCATTTAAAGAAATGGCGTGTCGTCCATTTCCGCTGTAGCGTACGTAGTGCATAGACTTTTTTATAGAAACTTTGCAAAGCAAAGGTTTTATAGCTGCAAATGGTGTCTGGACACACAACATTGCAAGTTGATAAAAGCGTTGTAAAAATTGTTACAGCACAAAAAGTAGAAAATCTGGATTTCGAGGTCATTTATGTTAGAGTTATACTCAAAGGAAAGCCACTGCCGCAGAATGAGTGTATCAATGTGTTTGTTCAGCTTGGATTAACACCTCATAGCACTAAAATACTGGTCGAAATTACATTCATCTCATGTACGAAGAGTTGTTGCTAAGTTTAAGATTGTTGAGTTTTGCGTCCGCATGAAAAGAATTTTTAATGTTCTGCATAAACTTCCGAATACCCTTTTGCCTTTCTCGCAGCTGCAAGAAGAGGAGTACTAGTTGCCCAAAGTCAACTGCAAGTGCTATACACATTCCTACACAGAAAATTGCAGCAGAGTTAAAAGGCGAGAACGATAAAGTATAAATTCTTGTAATTGCTGTCATGTCAGGTGTCATAGAAAATTTTTAAGTTTAATTTTAGAACGTAGAATGTGAGAAAATAATTTTAATGGAAAAATTCAAATGAGAAGGCGTATCAAAGCGAATTACTCAATTGCAAATAGTGTTGTC